TTTCCAATGCTTCATTCTGAAAATACTTTAGTAAGCTTCCTGCTTCTCTATATGCCAATTTTCTTTGCCTCTTCGTCCGAAGGTAATTTTTTTGATCTTGTTTGATATATCCAAAAGATTCTCTTCCACCAACTTGCCTACCCATTAACTCATATGCCTGCCTAAGTGGAATCCCAGATTCTTTTGTCAAATCTACTTCAGTAGCTTGTGAAGCAGATATTCTTCTATGAGACGTAACATATGAGTGCATTCTTGTCTTACAAGAGGATGATTGTGGTTTTCCATAAAATGGCTAACCCAATACTTACCATTAGATTTATTCAACTTAATGCTCATTTTATCATCATAACCCGTCCTTGTTTCTGCCCAAGAATTTTTAGTTAAATAATTGTTGAGGCCCAAAAAATCCAAGGGTAGGCACAAATATATTTCTAGCCTAGTACAACATCTAACTTGGGAAGAAACCCAACTATAGTATGCAAGAGTTCATCACATGTGCTTGCACACGTGCCACACCGAGCAAATGAGCAACATATCACGCTACAAGCTTAAGTGGGCCTAAGCCACGAGAATGCACGGGGCTTGCTGAGCGGGTTGTGGTATAGATGGTTATGAGCATTCATAAGGCCCATTTCTTGAGCCCAAATATGTGGGTAAGCATGAAAGAGAGAAAAAGGTAGCCCATTACCTTAGAAAATTGACCCATCACCTTAGTAAAAATAGTCCATCACTTTGGAAAGTTGGGTCATCCCCTTAGTGAACTAGCCCATTACCTTAAAGAATCGCCCAAATGACCTATAAAATATCTAAAAGCCTCCAGCACATGGCTAGAGACAAAACCACGACAAAAGCCAAAGGTTACTTATGTATGCAGGCTGCTGAGAATCTCCAGCATATGGCCAAAGACAAATCCCAACACAGATCATCCAAAAAACTAAAGGATACTTGAGCAAAACACCCTTCAGACCAGCGTCATTACCCACTCATTTCTCCTACCAACTCTTGCCATAAAATAAGGGAGGAAAGAAAGAGATATGGTAGCCAAAGATAGGAGATTGTCACAGGGACAGCTGCGAGAAAGCTCTATGGAATCGAAATGATCTCTAGATTGATCAGAGGATCCTTTCAATTGGCTAGAATCCGTTACTTGAACGAAACTAGATCTTGTGGAATCATATTGAATATTTGACGATACATTCCGCATCTTGCTAAAAAACCGATCCTTGTTTAACAAACGCACATTGTCTAACCAATTCTCTCTCGATATGTTCCTCAAAAAATCCGATTCGTGCGGATTTTTCCCCCAACTAAAGAAGAGATCTTGGAGGAATTGCCGCATATGAAATTGAGCACAATTTTGCATAGCACACTTGTTTCTCGAGAAGAGATGGGAAACATGCTCAATTTCATTTGATTGAATGGTTGACCCAACTCCTTGTTGTTTGAAGAAACCCTCCGCTTCAACTGGTATTTTTTCACGAAAAGCAAACATGAGATAACAAATCCAGTCTTTCACTAAGATTTCGAATAGCTGTCCCGAATTCAAGTTGATTATGTTTCGCCTCTTCCTCGGAGAAAGACGATCAAACAATTCCCAATCATGGTCCTTTCAGATCGGATTGAGAAAGATTTCATAAAATAGGGATGAATCAAAGGAAGAGAAAATAAATGAAGGGGGAGACTTGGCTGATTTGGGAAGAACCAACTAGGGTTTCTTAGGAAGAATGAGCTTCCAGTGCCTATAAAGGAGGCACCTTCTACCCAGCGAAGAAACTCAATTGAAGGCAAGCAATCACATCCAGAGAGAGCAAGCTTCACCTCTCATCCTTGGAACCCTTCAATTTCGAGCCTTATTCCTCCATCTCTTCCCATCTTCTCCTCTTGCAAGCCATTCCAGAGCCTAACGAACCCTTCGTCAAGCTGTCGAAAAATTACCCAAAGCACCCATTCTTCCACCCTAATCTCTGTCTCTCTCTGTCTCTCTCTCCTCAACAAATCCTCATGAAATCCTTTGCTTTAACCTCTGTTTCTCATAGAAAACCTGGTCTTTCTCTCTCTCATGCTAAACTCATGAATGCTTAGCTTCCATGCCACAAGCTTCTCAAGCCCAGCCAAGAATTTATCTGTAAGCAACTATTGGTTTCATTGGTGAAGAAGACTAAGGTGTTTCTTAAGGCTCAGCTACCCTTTCGAAGCACTGTTGGGTCTGATTCTTGAACTCAGACGTAGGGGCAATTTCACACATTTGGCTCTTTACAACAGCCCAGGCCCATCAGTAGCTGCCGGAACGAAAAAGCCCCTGCAATAATCTCGCTTATCTTTCAGTCAAAAACCCTCTTTGCAACAAACAAAATATATAAAGTAGAGGATCTGGATCCTGTTTTTACTTTATGTAATTTTGTTATGTATTTACATAAATCACTCTTATTTTATATATATATATAAAAAGTTATTTTTTATTATTATGTGTCTTTACATTTGTTATTCTTAACCTACATAATAATATATAAACCCCCTTTTATTACTTGCATATTATTTATTTTTTAAGTTACAGTGTCTGTTAGCTTGCACTGTACTCAACTTAAATCACTTCAACTCATCATACAACGCATTTAAAAAAAAAATTGTGTCAAAGCAATAGATAATTGACTATTTAAACATCTTCTAAAGTTTCATCACAAATTTCCATGTTTTTCTACCACTTTCTGTCATTTTTATTCAATTTTTATCGACATCAATATTTTTCGATAATTCCGTGTTTTTGGACCATTGATATTTTTGAAACCCTTGATATTAAAATCCTTGATTTTAGCAACCAAACCTTGTATAAGTACGTAAGTTATCATTGAAATGAATCAAGCAATTCTGAAAGCAGAACTCAAAGCAGTTTCTTAGCTTATTCCTTTTGTTTCTTTAATTGTCTTAAAATTCATCTCGTTCCATATTCCTATAAACTAGGAATTCATAATTATATCGAGAAATTAGGATTTAGATGGGTTGCATTTCATATATGAGTTGTGTTTCATCTCTAGGTTCTTTGTTGTAGTCGTTGCGGCTGAAACCCAACCATTACCAGCTGAAGATCAGGTCGAAGAGGTTGGGTTGCATCTATGGTTGGGGGGTTATAGGTGTCAGGTTTACAGGGAGATGGGGACTGGGAGATAGCAAAAGGGAAAGGTAGTTTTTGTCGAGCTTGGGGGTTGTTGGTCGAAGCTCAAAATGACCATATCTCTATCTCAGTCTCTATCTCAGACCCAAATTTGGGGATTTTGGATCTGGGTTTAGAATCAAATCCAAATTGGGAATTCACAAGTTTGCTGTGAGATTCCAAGTCTTCTGAAATGTCTCTTCATCCTCCAACGTTGCTAAAGTAGCAACAACAAAGTTCTCTTTTTCATTCTTCGGTTGAGTTTTAGGCTCATGGCTAAGTTCAACTAGGACAAAGGAAGGCCATGACTATGGGTTTGACGGACAAGAGGCTTGGAAGACACAATGGAAGCCATGGAATCTTTGGGTGTCTTGATAAGGTTTGGTGTGGGGAAGGAGAGAGAGACTGAGAGAAATGGAGACAGAGACAGAGCTGAAGAAAGGAAGGAGGTGATGGTGGTGTAAGTGAAGGAGAGTGGTGGAGGTGGCTGAGGGCTAGTTTGGCATTGCTGTGCTTTTAAAAAAAACTGCTTCTGCTGTGCTGCGAAAATAATCAGCTGTGAAAAAAAACAGCTAGGCATTTGGTAAACTGTATATGAAAAACTGCTGTGAGTAGTCAAAGTGTTTGGTAAATTTTTATCAGAAGTGCTTTTAGTATGTATAATTACCAAAAAGGGCATGATGATGAAACTGTTTGTTTTTTTCTTCGTTCTTTTTCTACTTTAAAAAAAGAAAACAAACTTCACTACATAAATTTGTTTTCTTTTTTTAATTTACACTTTTTAATTTATCAAAATTTGTAATCTACAATTAGCACACATATATTACCATAAATTATAAATTAATATTAACAAAAGTAGTTCTAAATATTGTTATATTAATAATAACAATGTGTTTTGAGGGCTTCGGAGGCATAACAAATATACAAAAATTGTTCAATTTTAACATGCCTAAATAGATCACTACAATATAAAAGAAGCTAATTAGATGCATTCATTAAACTTGTAGCGATGCTATTTCTCAATGCTTCCATCTCTTGTGTTCCATTGTCATTAAGACTATGAAGTTCTTGTTGTACATCAACATCCTCATCTATCTCTTCACTTAAGATATCATTTGAAGCATCAAAATGTCTATCATGTTGGGCATGCCTCCTTATATAATTATGAAGTGTCATTGTAGCAATGACTATCTTCACTTGCTTGTTGAATGGATAATTAGGCATATCTCTTAAAATTTTCCATCTTTTCTTCCATACTCCAAAGGTTCTTTCAATAACGCTCCTAAGAGAAGAATGAACATGATTGAATACCTCTTTATAACCAGTTGGTTGGCTTCCCCTACAAAAATCCGGGAGATGATACATTTCGCCTTTATATGGTCCCAAATAACCTCTCATCTGTGGGTACCCTGCATCTACTAAATAATATTTCCATGTGAAATACAACATTCATTTTTCTTAATATATATATATATAATTGGACTAAGTAAGTAATGAAAAACACAAAGGTTAATTGACCATAATTCTTACCGCTTGGAGGCTTAGGGAAATTTAAATTTTCATTGCATAGAACCGAAAGAAACACTCTTGTATCATGTGCAGTGCCCTCCCACCCGGCACATGTCAAAGTTACATACGGCCATAACGTTTTGAGTTGGCATCCCTTTCCTACCAATATAAGGTACTTGATCTTGAGGTGGTATTGAAACTTGAACATGTACTCCATCTATAGCCCCAATACAATCCTAAAAATGATAGTTTGACAAAATTTTCAATGTGTATAACTATAATTAGCAACAAAAATGAGAGAGAAGTGATAGATGCAATTTTTACCTTAAAATGAGGCATATATCTAGAATCTCCCAATATTGCTTGTGGAATTCACAGAGGTAGCAGCATGGACCAATGTAGATTCCAATGGATGGCTCGGATTCTCCTTTTTAAATGTGTCTGAAGCAATTTCATCTATTAATTCTATGTGAAAACAATCCTCCGCTTCTCTTGGAAATTTAATTGCTTCAAAAACTTTGAATGTCGCTTGTTCATTCCCAACTCTCAAAGTTAGTAAGCCTTCTTCTACGTCAATCAGAGTGCGTGAAGTAATCAGGAATGGGCGGCCCAAAATTAGCTGCGTGTCAGAATCTTCTTCCATATCCAAAACCAGAAAATCCGCCGGAAATATGAGTGTATCAACCTTTACTAGGACATCTTCTATAATTCCATCTGGGTATGTGATTGACCTGTCCGCCATCTGCAAAGAAACAGTAGTGGGTTTAATTTCACCAATACCAATCTTTTTAGCAACAGATAAAGGTAGTAAGTTAATGCTAGAACCCAAATCACATAAAGCTCTTTCAAAGAAATTATTTCCAATAGTGCATGGAATTTTAAAACTCCCTCTATCTTTTTGTTTTGGTGGAAGCTTCCGTTGTAAGATGGCACTGCACTCTTCTGTTAGTTGGATTTTCTCGTGCTCTCCAAATTTCCTCTTCTTGGAGAGAATGTCTTTCATGAATTTTGCATAACTTGGCATTTGTTCCAAAGCTTCAGCAAAAGGAATGTTGATCTGTAACTTTCTGAACATCTCCAAGAATTTTGCAAACTGCCCATCAACTTTATTTTTTCTCAACCTCTGTGGAAAAGGGATTTGTGGGACATATGGCTTCAATTGAAGAGAAGGAATTGGTATAGAATTTTCTTCTTCTTGGGATTTTTCTGTGGTGGTGATTGGTGGTGAAAATGCATGCCCCATTTCTGCCGCAAACTTCTTAGCTTCTTTTTCTTTCTCTAATGCTTCTTTTTCCAAGTCGATCGCTGTATTTACTTGCTTCCCTTTGCGAAGAGTGATTGCCTTTGCTTGTTCTTGATTTTTCGGGTTAACTTCAGGTTGGCTTGGAAATACTCCTTGGTTTCTTCCACTTATGACATTAGCTAATTGGCCAACTTGCACCTCCAAATTCTGAATAGAAGCTTGCTGATTCTGAAATTGAGTTTTTGTTTCAGTCATGAATTGGGTGGTAGACATAGTCAACTGAGTAAGAGCATCTTCCAAATTTATTTTCTTCTCTTGAGCCGGAAAGCCAGGTGGTGGTCTTTGCACATTCTGAGTATTGCTCCATGAAAAATTTGGATGGTTTCGCCAACCGGGGTTGTATGTATTGGAATAAGGATTATTCCTTTGTCGATTCAATTCTCCAACCTGATTGACTTGCTCAGCAGACGCAAATGGGTTCCCTGTGGTACACTCTGAACTTGGATGAGGGCCTGCACAAAGTTCACAACCAAAATTAGTACTAGTGTTTATAGAATTAACACTTAAAGAATCAACTTTTTTAGTAAGGTTAGAAATTTGTGCTGTTAGCAAAGCCATAGCATCGACTTCCAAGACCCCAGCTGGCTTCAGATTCATTCTCTCACTTGGCCATTGGTAGTTGTTGGATGCCATGGTCTCCAATAATTCAAATGCTTCGGTAGCCGTTTTTGCCATTAAAGCCCCTCCAGCAGCTGCATCAACTAGTGTCCTGCTTGTTTGACTCAACCCATTGTAGAAGGTCTGAACTTGAATCCAGGTTGGTAGCTCATGGTGAGGACACTTGCGCAATAAGTCTTTGAATCGTTCCCAGGCTTCATATAGAGGTTCCTTATCATATTGAGCGAATGACATGATATCTTGTCGGAATTTTGCAGTTTTGGCTGGTGGGAAAAATTTAGCAAGGAATTTCTTAGATAAATCATCCCAAGTACGGATGGAGTCTTGTGGCTGTGACAGTAACCAAAGCTTGGCTTTATCTTTCAAGGAGAAGGGGAAAAGCCTTAAACGAATCGCATCGTCAGTTACTCCATTGAACTTGGACGTATCACAAATCTCCAAAAATATCGCAAGATGGATGTTGGGATCTTCATTCGGTAGACCACAAAATACAGATGAATTCTGCAGCATGGTGATCATGGCTGGTTTGATCTCAAAATTGTTGGCTGCAATAGCAGGACGTCGGATCGCTGAGGGAGTTGCCACTGGGGGGCCAAATTCCCCCACGGCTCTTTCTGCTTCCTCCGCCATAGGTGTGGATGGTGGTTCCACCAAAGTGTGCTTTTTGTTTCCTTTGTTCCGCTTATGAAACGTACGTTCGATTTCTGGGTCAAGTGGTATGAGTTCTAGGGTACGAGAACGGTGCATACACGGATCAAAGTACCTGAAACAAAAAGAAGAAATTCAAATTAAACTCAGAATTAAAATATATTGATATTAATAGAAAATAAAACAGTCCCCGGCAGCGGCGCCAAAAACTTGTTGTGAAATTATTGCAAGCGCACAATTCGTACAAGTAATATAGAAATAAGTAGAGTGTCGTTCCCACGAAGACTGTAATTTCCTATTAACTACCAATTATGATTAATTTAGAAGTTTATTTGAACAGTTAATTAAGAAGATTGATTGATTCAAGAAAACTAAAATAATTATGAAAAATAACAATTTAATTAACGATAGAAAATTAAGATGATGAGACACTAGAGCATCCGATTTCACCATAACCAATTCTACTTAATTCTTATAGCCAATTAACCCTAATTACTATCCCTGTTGACAGTTGGTTTCTCCTAATTCATTCGATATCCCCTCTCGGGCTCAACCAAAAGTATTCTCAATTAACAACCCATTCTCTCTCGAGCAACGGATTTAGAAAACTAAGAACCCATTAAGTTCTATGAGAACCTACAAGAAAACTGCATGAGTCATGTTAGTCCCTCTCGGGCACTCATTCAAGTCATGGTATTTGTTACAAGAAGCAAACACCAAACATCTCCTCTCGGTCTCCGCTTGGATCATCAATTAAATATTAGCTAGATATTTAAATCATTAAGAACAGTAACAAATACTCAACATGGGATAATAATAAGGAATTAATATAACTATAAAAATTGAGTATTCATGGTTAGGCTACATCGTAGCCCTAGCAAGGGAAATTAGTTCATGACAGAAGAAAATATAAACAAGAGAATTATTGTCATAAAACCAATTTGGCCGATGGACTTGATCTTCAGAATCTTCACAGGAACACCTTCAAAAGCTCCTCAAATAATGCAGCAGCAAATTCTTGGCTTCCTCTGATATTTCTCTGGTTGTATGAAAGTTGGTGGAAAAATATGGTAGAGAAAACGATGGTGGAAAAAGATTGTTTGGCTATTAGGTTAAAGCTTTTTATTTATAGGCCAAGGGACTCCTCCAAAAATAAGGAAGATAATATTTATTCAGGAAGGAAAGGAAAAATAGGAATGTATGAGAAAAACCAATACCTATTCTCAAAAGGAAGTTACATGCGGCTTCAAGTCAAAGAGGGAATTGGCTTTGGGGTTTTAAAGGAAAAATAGGAAAGTATGCTCAAGGGTCTTGAGATTTTGTTGAGATGATAACTCCACCCATTTTGATCCCTTAAGCTTCCAAAATTATAGTTTTTGCTCCAAAGCCTTGCTAGGTATGATTTCCTACAAAATCTTCACCAAGCACATTAAACTAACCAATTTCACATGAAAACAATGCAAATAAAGACAGATTATATATGCAAAATATGAATATATCAGACAACAACTTAGATGGAACAGCAGAGAATAGGTTTTTTTTTTTTTTTCATTCTTGAGAAAAGAGAAGCCCCCAAATCTGGAGCTAATGGCTTCTTCACTCTTTTCTTGTCTTCTAACTAAAAGAGAACTAAAACTAAATTTGAGCTTGAAGACAACAAGGTGAGGACATTGGAAAAATCAACACGGACCTGACTTGGGGACTTTGGTTGCAATCATATATATACATATATATGATATATATATATATAATATAGATTTTCATAGAACTAGCAAGCCAACTCTGTCTCTCCCGTGTCTTCCCCCTAAAGCCCCAAGAACACAAATCCCCAAATTTCATAGAAACCAAACAAAAAACCTAATTTCATAACATATATAAACCTAAAAATCATAAATGTAATGGGAGATGAACTCACTGATAAGTAGCTGATTGTTGTCGGCAATTAACGTCCTTGATTGAGATGGAGTTTTGAGATGCAGGGGGAGGAAGAAAAAGAACAGTGAGAAGAGCAGTCTGTGAGAAGTGAAGGTCAGAGAGTGTGAAGTCGCGAGATCTATTTTTTTAGAGGGTCAAATGTTGTCATTTTGTGAAATACTTAGGGGTATTATAGGGATAATGAAACTTTCATTAATGAGAAAACCGGCTCTTTTTTTAAGCAGCTTTTCAAAGCACCACATACCTGACTTTGAGTTTTTGCTTTTTATGATGGGGGTTTTTAAAATAAGCGTGTTTTTTTGGGTTTACCAAACACCCAACTCTTGCCAAATTTTTATTAAAGCTGCTTTTTAAAAAAATTAAGCACTGCTAAACGCCACCTGAGTTTGGGTGATAGTGGAGATGAGATGGGGAGTGGCTGGGTTTGGGTAATAGTGGAGGGAGTAGGGAAGGTGGGTCGCGGGCAAGTCTAGGAATGAGGGGTTTGATTTTAAACTTTTTAATTAATTTAAAAAAATAAAGAATTTTTTAATTAATTTTTAGACTACTTGGATGTTACGCCAACCTAAAAAATGGGATTTACTTTTGCCACATGAGCAATTAACAGAATTTTTAACGGTCTTATTAATGGAGGGTGTCTTTTGAAATGTTTCATTAAGTTAGGGTACCAGTCAAATGAGTCTTTAAAGATTGGGTATGATTTTGTAATTTCCCCCTAAAATAAAATAAAGAAGGAAAAAACGAGAAAGCTCATTATTATTAGTGTGTACATTGAAGGTGCTCTTGCTTTGGGCATGTAAATCCCAGCACATTAACATTTACACACCATGAGAAGCGCGTGTACCACGCTCTTATCACGTGGCATCAACTTTTGTCACCCTCATTAAGGAATTTACTCCACGCGCTTCAAGTGCATGTGGTCTTCAACTTCCTTACCCCATCTTTTTCATAATCAATCTCAGAATTCACTCAGACATAGATGTACAACAAGATCACCAAAACCAACCCAAAGCTCAGATAGCTTTATTTTTTAAAATCTTGTGGAGCTTTTCTTTGAGAAAAGTAAGTCCGGAGCAAGAAACCCAGAGCTAAGGCATATAGAGAAAGAGAAAAGCAAGCTGTTTCAATGGCAGATACAACAGAAGATGAGCAAGAAACACCGCCGCCGCGATCATATTACATGATGTTTTTAACAACTATGAGCAAAAGGAGAACTTGGGTATGTCTATTTGTGTTAGTTTATGCTATCCTTTTAACTTCTTTATGGAATTTCCTCAAATCCATACTGTCTTGGTATGAATTGCAAGCCCAACCTTCTGCCTCATCATATGGGTGGCCTGCCCTTTATGCCTCGGTGCTTCTTGGGGCAGTTTTTGGGCTGCTTTCCATGTTTGCAGCTCTCGCAGTCGTGGTGCCTGCCACTTTGGTCACATGGATCACTATTGTGGTCATGCTGGCCTTCTTTGGGAAGCCTAGGAGTACTTTGGTTGTGGAGGGGAGGAAGATTACAAGAGAGATTTTCGGGATTGTGATCAGGATTTTGTTGAAGGAAGGCAATTTGGTGGCTGCTGCTTGTGCTGTTTTGGGGTATTTTGCGCTTTTTAGGAGGAGTTCTGAGGTGATCGAATGATTTGGTTGCTGGGATTTTTGCTAGTTCTAAGGGGGTTGAAATGGGTGTGTAGATTTGAAGGATGGGGTTTTGGATTTGGTAAAGTTTTCCCCTCTCTTCCCTAAGACATTGTTTGGTATTTCTGTTTTTCTACTCAAGAATAGAAAGGGTAAAGCTCTGAACCCCCACTGTTGTTGTAGGGCTCTGTAACAGTACTTCTTTTGATTTTATTGTGGGATCTGACTCTTTTTTCTTGTGTTATCTTTATCCTTCCACAATTTCGCAATTTTGTAGACTATACATGTTTGAAATCATGGGTGTCTTTTTTCTTTGTGATAAACAAGGACCGATTGATTTCTGGTATGTGTTTTGAGCAATTGCAATAGTAGCTATATGCTGGAATTTGACTGCGCAAAGGAGAAAATCTATCAGGGCCCTAATATACGGAAACAGAGACATGTAATGATGCATTTGGTTTAAGTCTCCAGGTTTTAGGTTTAGGATATGCTAGCACGCATTGCCCATGCCCTTCTATTCATTATCCAACACTAGCTAATGAATTAGCAGAAAAACTTGTGGAAACGGGGATGGCACTGTTTTTCTGTCTCCAGCCAATTACGGTTGTCATGCGTGATAACTTTTTCACTTGGCATATCATAATTGATCGGGATAGCAAAACAGTGTTATTCCAGTCCCACACAAGTGTTTCTTACTGAATTGTCCTTGGCTGCTAGCATTACCAATTTTCTAATGCCAAATTGCAGGTTTTAGCTTCTCTGAGTGGCAATGGCTAGTTGAAGACCTTTTGTCTTTTATTAAAGATGAGAATATTTTGATGTAGAGCTCTAATCTTCTGTCTTCTTTCTCTTTAAACTGAAATCCTTCTCCAATCCAAACTAATCTGCCCAACATTTAAAAATGGTTTAAAGCAGGAGGTGGTGTTCAGTACAAGTCTACATAGGAATCTTTCTGTTATCAACATCTGTGCACACGCTAGGCCTGCTTTTCGGTTCAAATCGTTCTTGCTCTTGAAGCTCACCAAGCCAAATTACTTTTTTTTTCCCTTAAATCACGTGTGTATTTTTCAATATCGATTAAAATAAAACTTCATTTACAAAAAAGGAAAGAAAAGGTTTTGGTCAGGAATCATTTGGTTCGAGAAAAACTGTGTTTTATAACCAAATAGCAGTCCTAAAGATTGGACCAAACGAGCTGACTAAATTGGGCCAAACGAGTTGGTTTGGGCTGGTTTGGTTCAATTTAGTATAAGTAAGTGACTTTTTCAACCAATTCGGACAATGTTTTGATTTGTTAAGTTTTGTTAAAAATGACACAAACCGAGTATTTGGAGCCTAGGTGAAATTAAGAGTATTTGGAGCCTAGGTGAAATCTAATCGCATCCCAATGGCAAGAAAGAACTCTTCTTGAACACCCTCTATAAAACCTTGGTGGTGATTGACTCACTTTCCGATTTATATTCCCTATTTCGATTTATGTTTCAATTTTTTATTTTTATTTTTTGTGAAATTTTGTTTGAAAATAAAATTTTGGAAAGGAGCAAATTGGGAGGTATGATGGTGATTTATCCATTGAATATCCTACAAATCAAATCCTTATCAGCAGTTCATGGTTCGGTTTCGTTAAGGGAAAAATTGGGCTGAAAACCAGAATGGGCCAACCCGAATAGGTTTCAATTCTATTTTGCAAGTTTGGTCAATTTGGGCTTGAGCCCAATTTCAGTTGTTCAATATGTATCAAACAATTTGAGTTAAGACACATTAAAGTAGAAAAAATCATATTCAAATATAATTAACAAATGTTAACATCAAAATGAAAATATTACCCTATCCAATTGATTCATAGAACTTCGTTTCTTCAATGGTTAGCACATATTGTAATGAAGATATATCTTATGAGCTTAGCCAATTTGAGAGCAAATCAAGGCTTCAACCATCCTAGGAGACAATAAGTTTCGAAAGGAGTCAATCACTCTCTCACCTGTGCTAAAACATGATTCTGAAGCTACTTTGCAATTAATGCCAAGTTAGGATATTTGAGCCATTTATTTTCCACCACCCTAGTATATGAAACTTACATTAATTGTTTCAAGTGGATTCAACAAGTACCTATCCACTTCATGTGTTAGAATCACATTATCACTTTCTTGCAGAATGAACCATAGGGAATCGACTCTCTCCACTTTGATTGAGAGAGTTAGAGAGGAGAAGAGGGTGAGAAATGGCGGTGGAGAGCGGTGGCCTGAGAGATTGGCCGCGGATTTGGGGTTAGGGACAATAGACTCTCTCCAGGATTTAGGATTTAGGATTAGGGAGGGACGATTTGTGGAGATGAGTGAATGAGAGAAAGTGAGGTGGAGTGGTTTTGATCTAGTGCAAGCAAGCCCTCCGTATATCCTTAA